GTCAATTTTCACTCGTCTTTCAATAACGACATCAAAATGCTTGTCCGTGAATATGAAAGGATCCAATTGAAAGTAAGTAAACAGAGCATGTCTAAATTATTCAACGATATTCTCTCTCTCTCTATATATATATATATATATATATATATATATATATATATATATATAGAGAGAGAGAGAGAGAGAGAGAGATAGATAAATAGATATATATACCAAATACTTAATAATTCTCGTTTTCACTTTCGCTTGGTCATGTGTGACGTCACGAGATGTGGTGCGATTTTGACTTCCGTATACACGAGTTTGTCGTTGCTTGGAAATCTTTCACGGAAACAAAAACAGACTATCATTATTGTTTTGTCCGTGTATTGCTTGATATATTGAATTGTCATTGTCTTCTTTGATAATGGCTTATGTAAGCCGAGAGTTTAGATAGCCTTAAAAAAACATGTATCAATATGGTGATTTGCTTTCATCTTTCAATGTTAATGTTATTAAGCTTATCAGACAATACGAAAGGAATTTACTTAAAATAAATAGACAAAACTTGTCTCTATTATTTAATGAAACATGCATCAATATATATATATATATATATATATATATATAACAATGGCAGGATATTCATATCGTGTGCAGACATAAATGATTTTACGTAATGGACGCGAGGCTGCACGGCAGTTTCAGATTGTTTTCAGACTGAAGGCAGCCGAGTCATCTAACCTTTGCTGCTGTTCTAGATGGTGTTTTGGGTATATATTTATGCGGACATTTTAACTTGTTTTGGTACCAGAAACCCGTACCCAACGTTTGTAAAAGTATTTTTTAATAAACTCTCTCTCTCTCTCTATCTCTCTCTCACTCTCTCTCTTTGGGTCCTGTCACTGGATCTAACTAACGCCTTTATCCACTGTGCCATGTGTCCTTGTGAGTTCAATACCCAGTTAAGGCAGTGGAGAACTCGGTGAGGGGAATTAACTGATAACTGACATCCATTAGACATGGCACGTGGAACTACCCCTGTGAGCGAAATAAAGGGTTCAGTTCGACATTCCAACCCTCTGAAGAAGGCCGAAGCGTACAACGGCTGAAACGTTGTAATAAATATGGCGACAAAGATGAGGACAATAGTCCGCATAATGTAAATAATATACATAATACCTCATCTCAGAAATATAGACAGATACTCTGTTCTTACTTTTCATCAGTGACCTTCCTTGGTATCTATGTTGACCGCACAACCATTTACCCCTGTCACGATAATAAGTCTGATCAGTTCGATAGGGTGAAATTGGCGGGTGATATAAAAAAAATGAGCTGCCGTCGGTTGTTAATTGGGGCAAGGATTGGCATGTTAATTTTAACGCCTTCAAAACAAAACTGTTAATCATCTGAGAGATCCTTTTCTACCTGCTATCATCATGGCTGATTCCAGCCTCCAGGAGCGTCACTTATTGCACCCTCTCGGGCTAATATTATCAGCGGAAAGATTATCCATTGATGGGTCTGCTGCTAAGAAAATTTGTTCTCTGTGAGTTACACAATTTTCTCTCCAGAAAGTATTTATAGAAAAGACAGAGGGAGGCGACGTCACGTCTGTGTGAGAGCGACTGTAGACGAGATGCCAGATCAGGACCAACCACATTGCTTATCCGTCTCTGGATTTTGTCGAGGACCTTAAGGCGAACAGCAGGGCACCAGATCATATATAGCAGCTGTATTCCATGCAAGGGCGAATGGTTGATTTATCAATTTGAAGGATGGACTCAGGCGAGAAAAACTTTTTGGCGCGACACAGGGAACCAACTTTCCTTGCGATGGATGAAGCTATTGATTCAATGTAATTGTTCCATCTCAGTTCAGCAGCCCGTGTGAGACCAAGCAGTCGCAGAGAGGTGCTCTCGTGAAGTTGAGCATCAGACATTCTAATGGGAGGCAGAGAAGATTCCCTGTGGTGAGTAATAGAAAGCAGTTTTGTTTTCGAGACATTAGTTTCTTTTATTCATAAATTTATTAAAAAAAGATGTCTGTCAAACATAAAAATTTAAATAAACAGATAAACAGACGATTAACTGTAATTACAAATTTTGAAATAATGCCTGTTCTGGCCATTTATTTGACGCAGCAATTCATTTTATAATATTTTTTATAAAATTATCAATAAAAAAAAACAAACTTGTTTTTATAGTTATTTATAAAATGGTAAATAAATTAATTCTACATTGTAAATTGTTTAAATATTTTGATAATTTTGTAATTAAAAATAAATTAAATTAAAAAATTTCTTCAGATTTATTTCGTTATAAAATGGTAAATAATATAAATTTGTAAAAGGTTAATGTCGTATTGTAAATTGGTTGACATATATTTATAATATTATGAAGTGGGTTAAGTTTTTATACTTATTTATAAAATAGTAAATAAATTACTAAATACGACATTGTAGATGGTTTATATATTTTGATAATTTTGTAACTAAAAAAAAAATGAATGAAAAGATTTAAAATATTGAAAAGTTATAAAATAGTAAATAATTTAGTTGGTTTTAGTTTTTCCTTCCGCTTGAGTAATTCGGCGTCCCGGGGAAACACAGTAGTCTGTCAGCGGAGGCGAGATATCTCGTGGGCTCTGAGAGTGTCTGCCACTGAGTCGCTCCAGCGTCTTCTTGGTCTGGCTCTCGCTCTCCAGCCAGGGTACCTGCGGGTGTATGCACATAAGACTGGTTGGTTGATAAGCATAAGAGTGAGGTGTCCGTACCACTTGATCCTCTGTCTTTTGATGTGTTGTATGATTGGTATTGATCCTGCCATATCTCTTATTCCTTCATTCCTGATCTTGTCTCGCTTAGTCTTGCTCAATTGCTCAAGGAAACAAAGTAGCAATGGGTAAACAATGGGTATATTTTTAATTTTGCGCATGCGCGTTCTTTGTATGTTTATTTAAATGAGACCTAAATGAAGTGGAAAGATATTGCTAGATCACTCGGTTAACTGTGTCGTACGAGACATTTTTTCTCTCCAGAATCTATCTTACATATCTATAAGTCTACCATTCGTCCATTTTTTGAATATTTCTGCCACATATGTTCTGGTGCTCGTGTTGTATAATTAGCGATTCTGTGATAAAATCCAAAAGAATCTGCAATGTTATTGGTCCTGACCTGGCATCTCGATTTCATTCAATTTCCCACTGCCGTAATATATCTTCCCTGTGCATTTTCTATAAATACTTTCATGGTCATTGTTTCAATAATTTTTTTGCAATACTACCTAGACATTATGAAGGTATGCACTATACTAGATTGGCGGTAAGGTCTCATAAATTCACAGTTGAATTGCCTAAATGTAACCGTATGTTCTATGATGGTGTAGCCTAGGAAAGGTTACTGAATGAGGAATAAAACAAAACGGAGGTTGGAAATGAAATGGTAATCATTATAACATCAAAAAATCAAATACTCGCCAACGGAGTGAAGAACGTAAACCACTTCTAGTGGCAGACTACTTAGACACCATATTACCCCTCACTTACAATAGTGTCCAACGTATTTATGGGGATTAGGACATACCCATTAGTGTTCATAGATACATAGGTATATAACACTATCTATCTCAGTTCAGGTTCTATCTATCTATCTATCTATCTATCTATCTATCTATCTATCTATCTATCTATCTATCTATCTATCTTACTGTTTTAATAACTATGAGTCTTATCCTCATTATATCTAGCTGTCCATCTCAGTCCTTTCATTATCTATCTATCTATCTATCTATCTATCTATCTATCTATCTATCTATCTATCTATCTTACTGTTTTAATAACTATGAGTCTTATCCTCATTATATCTAGCTGTCCATCTCAGTCCTTTCATTATCTATCTATCTATCTATCTATCTATCTATCTATCTATCTATCTATCTATCTATCTGCTGTAACCTGGGAAGGGTCACTGAATGAGGAATAACCAAAACGGAGGTTGGAAATGAAACATCAGTAAAATACAATAGTTCATAGGTAGGTATATAACACTATCTATCACAATTTAGGTTCTATCTATCTATCTATCTGTTGTAACCTAGGAAGGTATACTGAATGAAGAATAAACAAAACGGAGGTTGGAAATGAAATGGTAATCTTTATAAAATCAACAAAATACAATACTCGCCAGCGGCGTGAAGTAGGTAAACCACTTCTAGTGGTGGACTACATAGACACCATATTACCCCCACTTACAATAGTGTCCAACGTATTTATGAGGATTAGGACATACCCATTAGTGTTCATAGGTACAGTATATAACACTATCTATCTCAGTTCAGTTTCTTTTTTTCCAGGTTTTCAGATAAGACATTTAGCCATCTTGACACCATTTGTTGTAAGAATCACTGAAAAACCTTTTGCGTTATTCAATTAAAAAGAGAACAGGTTAAAATTGTTTTGTGTCAGACCCACTATCTTTCCAACTGAGCAATAGTGGGAGGAAAAGAATTCATTCAGGATTTTAGTAATGGTCCCAACATTCATACTTTGGGTTCCATTTTCAATGTCCATTCAAGAACCATCAAGAGAATGAAGAATAAGTTTTAAAAAAGAGTGAACAGTAGAGAAGAAAACTGGATCGGGGGTGGGGGTCAACAGCAAGAGGGTTCATTATTTCAACTTACAGCTAAATACAATCTTATTGTTCAAAGTATAGTCCAATAGTTTTTAAAAAAATCTCGGTGAATTCCAGTAAGATATATTTAATCATTTCTAAGCTACAACGGTTAATCGAGGAACTGGACAATTTGCAGTTACACGGTTTGGACAGTGTTGCAGTTGCACCCGGTATACAGGGTGCGGCAGAAGTAGCTCCCACAAACTCGAACGTACAGCACTTATTCCCAAGCGGTCACCCATCTAACTACTGATCAGGCTCGACGTTGCTTAACTTCGGTGATCGTACAAGTATCGGTGTTTCAGCGTGATATGGCCGTAAGCACATTACACCACCCAAGCTTACAGCACCTGATATTTCCAAGCGTCACCAATCTAGATACTGACCAGGCTCGACGTTGCTTAACTTCGGTGATCGTACGAGTATCAGTGTTTCAACGTGATATGGCCGTAAGCACATTTCACCACCCAAACACCAAAGCTTACAGAACCTGATATTTACAAGCGATCACCCATCTGGATACTGACCAGGCTCGACGTTGCTTAAAACATTATTATGGATTACTTATAATTGCATGCTCTAAAGCTATAAAGGAAGAAAGTTACGGCTACATCTTGCTAGCTCAACTGTAAATTAATGAGGTCTCGCTGCCAGTCTAGTATTGTGCTTAAATACAGTCTAGGTACCATAGCAAAGAGTTCATCTGAACAATTACCATGAAAGTATTTATAAAAAGGCACAGAAAAGCAACCTTACGTCGGTGGGAAAGTGACTCATGTCAGCTGAGAACGTTAGCCCAAACAGGAGCAATGAGTCATTTTCCTGTAGGATAGCATCAGCCATATTGGGGGAAGGTGTAGAGGGGTCTCTCAGATAATTAATGGAGAGCAGTTTAGTTTTTTTTTTGGGGGGGGACGTTAAATTTGACAAGCCATCACCCCCCCGCCACTTAACGACGATCTTGAGTTCGTTTTGTAGATCCGCTACCATTTTGAGCTTTGACCTTTGAAACTCAATTCTCAATAAAGATGTCTTATTGATGCTACAGCCCTGAATAATCGACCTCAATGTGAAGGCAGCTCTGTAAAGTACCTGAAAACCATACCACAGTCTGACTAAAGTCGCATGAACGTAATTGCGTAGACGGTAGATACTTTCGCTTATTTCTGAACTGCCGTTATGTCGAGGCTTCCAGTTGTCTTCAGTTGTCTCTGTGGTTAAACTCGGGTTCGAATCTCACTATGGTCGATTTTCGGTCCCAGTGTGAGGCACCTAACGAAGGTGTCTGAAAACCATATCACATGTCGACCCATGCCTTGTGAGTGAAACTGGACTGACGAAACTATATGATAGCCGCCGTGGCTGTACTAGCACGAAGTTACAAGTCATCGTGACCGAGGCTTCAACGTAATACCCTTGTTCATACTGTTGATCAACCTAAATAATGCGCCCCACCCAGAAATTGTAAATAAGTTCCGCTCAATATAGATGCAGGGGTAGGTTCTATGGAAATTGAACAAGCACAAAGGTGGCTGAGCAGGTATCTGCAAAAGGGATTAGCTAGCCGTCCTAGTAAAGAGGCAGATTTGAATACGAGCAACTAGACATTAAATATTTTAAAAAGCCTTTATATATTTCTAGAATTTTAATATATTTCTAGAATTTCTCAGTTTTTGAAAAATTAACGAATGCTTGAAATTTCTGGATAGGCTGGTGAAACAAGGCAGAATTTGGTATCAGTTTTCGATAAAGTTAAAAACAAAAAATATTTGTTCAACTTTTTTACTTTGCATAAATTATGCCATCGTTGAACTAATTTGCAAGTCAACCGTTGCTGCACCAAAAAATATCCTTATTTTCTTTCTTTGTTTTAGATTTTGTAAGGTAACAATATTTTATTATTTTTTTTCGTCCCTAAATTGAGTTACGCTGACCAAAACAGAGCAGGATTGGCGTTTTTTAATAGCAAAAATTTTTAAAAAATGGCGTCCGTTCTCAACAGAGATAATGGCGCCAATTAATAGTTCATTAAGAAATAATCATTTTCAGTGTGCGGCATTTGAGTGTACACAAGCATGTGTGCGTGTGTGTGTGTGTGTGTGTATGCGCTCGCGCGTGTGTAACAGCGTTCGTGCACGCGCATGTTCTTGGACCTAACGAAATGATGAGAGGAAATGAAAGACTAATGAAATAATTTGAAATTAAGTAGAAAAGAAACACCAAGAAAACGAAATAGAAAAAATGATATGAATGAAAGAAGTAAAGAAAGAAAGAAAGACGAAAAATAGAGAAGTATTAAGAAAGAAAGAAAGAAAGAAAGAAAGAAAGAAAGAAAGAAAGAAAGAAAGAAAGGTGAAGTATTAGGAAAAAAAGAAATGTGAAGTAAAAAGAAAGAAAGAAAGAAAGAAATGTGAAGCATTAAGAAAGAAAGAAAGAAAGAAAGAAAGAAAGAAAGAAATGTGAAGCATTAAGAAAGAAAGAAAGAAAGAAAGAAAGGTGAAGTATTAAGAAAGAAAGAAAGAAAGATAGGAAGAAATGTGAAGTATTCCGAAAGAAAGAAAGAAAGAAAGAAAGAAAGAAAGAAAGAAAGAAAGAAAGGTGAATTATTAAGAAAGAAAGAAAGAAAGAAAGAAAGAAATGTGAAGCATTAAGAAAGAAAGAAAGAAAGAAAGATAGGAAGAAATGTGAAGTATTCCGAAAGAAAGAAAGAAAGAAAGGTGAAGTATTAAGAAAGAAAGAAAGAAAGAAAGGTGAAGTATTAAGAAAGAAAGAAAGAAAGAAAGAAAGAAAGAAAAAAGAAAGAAAGAAAGGTGAAGTATTAAGAAAGAGAGAAAGAAAGAAATTAAGAAAAAAAAGGTGAAGTATTAAGAAAGAAAGAAAGAAAGAAAGAAAGAAAGGTGAAGTATTAAGAAAGAAAGAAAGAAAGAAAGAAAGAAAGAAAGAAAGAAAGAAAGAAAGAAAGGTGAAGTATTAAGAAAGAGAGAAAGAAAGAAATTAAGAAAGAAAGGTGAAGTATTAAGAAAGAAAGAAAGAAAGAAAGAAAGAAAGAAAGAAACAAAGGTGAAGTATTAAGAAAGAAAGAAAGAAAGAAAGAAAGAAAGGTGAAGTATTAAGAAAGAAAGAAAGGTAAAGTATTCAGAAATAAATAAAGAAAGAAAGAAAGAAAGAATCGTGAAGTATTAAGAAAGAAAGAAACAAAGAAAGGTGAAGTATTAAGAAAGAAAGAAAAAAGAAAGAAAGAAAGAAAGAAAGAAAGAAAAAAGACAGACTGAAAGGTGACATATGAAAAAAAGACAGAAAGAAAATAGAAAGAAAGAAGGCAAGGTGAAGTAATAAGAAAGAAAGAAAGAAAGAAAGAAAGAAAGAAAGAAAGAAAGAAAGAAAGGTGAAGTATTAAGAAAGAAAGAAAGAAAGAAAAGTGAAGTATTAAGAAAGAAAGATGAAGTATTAAGAAAGAAAGAAAGAAAGAAAGAAAGAAAGAAAGAAAGAAAGAAAGAAAGAAAGGTGAAGTATTAAGAAAGAAAGAAAGAAAGAAAGAAAGAAAGAAAGAAAGAAAGAAAGAATGGTGAAGTATTAAGAAAGAAAGAAAGAAAGAAAGAAAGAAAGAAAGAAAGAAAGGTGAAGTTTTTTGAAACCGTTCTTGTTTTGGCGTAGTAACTTGGTCACAACCCTAATGAAGCGTTGAGGTATAGACCCCTGCTTTATCCAGTTGTTGCAAATCAGTTCCAGCAAGGAAGCAAGTACAGTTCTTCAGAAAGACCATCAAATCACAGAGTTTTATCTCGGCCAACCAACTTCAGCGCTTCGCAGATCTCAGATTCTGTAACAGGACGGTCACACTCAGCCCCCTTTAGGCATCGATTTGAGCAGGGGTCAGACCGAGTTCCTTGGTGGACAGACGCTGAAAGATAAGCGGCTTGACCTTATATAGTTTTGGCATAGATTATCGTATACTGTAGCCTAACTTCATTTCCCGACAGGCCTAAAATTTGGGCCACTTGTAGCCTACCGTATGTTTGGGGCGTCGACCTATACAATAGGTATAGGCCTTACTCAGGATCACGATCTAAATTTTTTTTGATCGACTTGTACGTTAGGTCTACTTGTAGGCGACAATTTACGGTTTTCATTATAGCATTGTCTCATCTAATTTCTTTACCGGTTTTTATTCTGCTACTTTGTTTAATTAGTTTCTAATTAACACACAAGGCAATGTTAGTCGTCACCGTACGCAAGAGTAATCACTTCTACACTAAATAGCTTCCACGTATTTATACATTCGTCTAAATATACCTGAATACGTAACTATAAAGTTACCAGATAAATAAAGGGTCAAATGACTACACATATACACAAAAATCGACACACACTCACACAAATAAATCATTGAGAATAAACACACACACATATACACACAAAAAAAAACTTTAAATTCCAATTTATCAAGTTGTCATTGGTTAATGTCATCAAATCGGAAGCTTTTCGGCTTTTTTTTTTCTTTTCTTCAGTTAAAGGTCATTAATCTTAGACTGACAAAGAACCACAAACAATAAGACGATTCGAATCGGGTTTACTCGGTAATCTCCGGTCTTGATTATTCGCCAATTGTCGGCAATATCCGGTCTCAGTCAATTGTCAATTGTCGTCTGACTTTTCAGTCAATGTCTATTCTATCAAAAGGAGACGGAAATGAGAAATTGATATTGTATGCAATTTTCTTCTACTCCTCCTTGTTCTGCCAAGCATGAATTTTTTTTTTATATTTTCTCTCCGAATATAATCATAATATTCTACTTTTTCTACTACTATTATTATTATTATTTTTATTTTCTTTGATTTCTGGCGTTTACACATTTCTTTCCGGGTTCGGCCCAGGGACCTAAGGTTAGAAATGGCGTCATGACACTTTCCACTGACAAAAAAAAAATTAAATTACATAGATAAAGCCCTTCGTAAGGTGTGGGCTGTACTTGTCAGAACAATTTTTTGTATCTCCTTGAGGCATGGACTTCCAGGAATCCCTTCAATTAGTCTACTGCAATCTTTTCCAACCAGTCCTAGGGCTCCAACTACAACAGGGATTGTTGATGTTCCCATATGCCACATTTTCGAGATTCCTATTTCAAGGTCCTTGTACTTTGACAACTTTTTGAATATCTTCAAAGATACATTGCAGTCAGCAGGGACTGCCATATCAATAAGGAGGCACCATTTTGTTTGTGGTCTTTAATAACAATATATGGGCGGTTGGCTTTCATTGTTCTGCCAGTGTGTATTGTGTAATCCCATAGAATTATAACAGGTCCTATCTCCGTAACCGGGCCTGGGTGGTGTTCATACCAGTTTCTTTCAGTTTCCTTCCCGTAGAAGTTGCAGATTTTCCAGTGCAGATATTGGCCCACTCTGTCATGTCGGGTTTTATATTCAGTGGGTGCCAACACCGTACAACCTGA